TTCAATGACAACAGTAACTACTACAAAACACCCTAATTATGGGCATATTAGAAAATTGTGGGAAATAATGGTCTCTGATCAATTCGTTTTTTGCAGAATTCCCCGGTAATTTTTTGATCAAAATGTCTTTTAAACAGATGTTCATAAATGTTGATTAAATAATGTATTAACTGGACTAAATACATTATTTAGTTGCCACTCATCCCCCCGCTTAGGAAATAGTACTGGTCCACACGGTTAGTTTTTCCAAAAGTGGCCAGCACTTTGTTTCCCAGACTAGAGCCCTTGGATGTCCATGGATGCCCCTAAAGCCCTACTAGCATAGTCAACTGTCAAACCTCTAGGGGTTGTAGTTGAGCACAAATTTGGGAACTGGTAGGTCAACTGAATCTTGCTGCCAGAGACCAGGGAGAAATTCATTTTGTTTGCATTTTAATACAAACTGAATTATCTGAATTTTCTGAATGACAGATTGGAACCCTTATATTTCTTTTCTTTTCCCCTGTCCCCCCAATTCTCGAGATTTTGGGATGCAGTCCTCTGTTCAAAAATGTCCACAAATATGTGTACATTAGTGAAAACCAAACGTTAGAGACTCATCCTACTAGCAGGAAAGAAAGCTGAAAGTATATCCAATGAGTCTCTACAATAGATTGGCCCAATCCACAGCTCCTGGACCAAGGGGAGGATCACACTTTGTCTCATTTCGGTATGTGGGATGCCACCAAATTCAAGCATTTAGGAACTCTCTTCAGGTGTTACAGAATTCAATTTCCTGAACACACAAAGAAGAGAAGAGCTGGCTCCACTTTGTCATAATTTCCTCCACCCAGATGTCAACACGTCTAAAGAGGAGAGATTCTTGCTTGCATGTAGGCTCTATACATGCACAAGAACGCCAATTTTCCAGGATTTTGTTGTGGTGGTGGAAGGCCTACAAGCAAGCAGAAACATTTCCTCTTTAGGCTCTGTTGTCATTCACAGGAAAAAGCAAGGATGAAGGGGACAGGGCTATAAGTTCCACCTCACAGAATCAGAGAATCATGTTGTTGGAATGGGCCTATAAGGTCACAGAGTCCAACTCCCTGCTCAATGCAGGAATACAAATAAAAGGATATCTGTCAGGTGGTTGTCTAAGTTTCTGTTGAATGTCTCCAGTATTGGAGCACTTACCACCTCTCAGGGTATTTGGTTCCATTGCCATACTGCCCTAACAGTTAGGAAGTTTTTCCTGATACTCAATTAAAATCTGGCTTCCTTTAACTTGAGCCCATTGTTGAGTGGGCTGATTGAGAACAGATCTTGCCCCACCTCTGTATGATAGCCGTCAGGTATTTGAAAAGTGCCATCATATCTCCCCTTCATTTTTCTTTTCTCAAGGCCAAATATGCCCCTTTATTTCAATCTTTCCTCCTAGGGCTCGGTTTCCAGCCCTCTGATCATCCTTGTTGCGCTCCTCTAAACATGTTCCAATTTGTCAGCATCTTTCTTGAAGTGCAGTGTCCAGAACTGGACACAATACTCAAGATGAGGCCTAACCAGCGGTGAATAGAGAGGGACTAGTACTTCCTGAGATTTGGAGATTATACTTCTGTTAACACAACCTAAAATAACATTTGCCTCTTTTATATAGTCATATCACACTGTTGGCTCATATGCAGCTTGTGATCTATGATGATTCCTAGATCCTTCTCGCTTGTCATGTTACTGGGTCAAGTATCTCCCATCTTGTAACTTTTTGGTTTTTGGTTTCTTTTTCCTAGGTTAAGTACTTTGTATTTATCCCTGTTACATTTCATTCTGTTGCTTTCAGCCCAGTGCTCAAGCCTATCCAGATCATTTTAAATTTTGTTTCTGTCTTCCAGGGTATTCGCTATTCCACCCTATTTTGTATCATCTGCAATTTGCTTAACGTTCAATGCACCCCCTGATCCAGGTCATTAATAAAAATGTTGAAGAGCACTGGGCCCAGGACTAACTGACAGTTGTTTTATCCAGCCCACACCTAGTTAGCTTGCTAATCAGAATATCATGGGGCATTTTGTCAAAGGTTTTGCTGAAGTCAAGCTATATGATATCTACAGCATTCCCTCTGTCTATCAGGGAGGTTACCCAATCAAAAAATGAGATCAGATTAGTCTGGCAGGATTGTTCTTGACAAATCCCTGTTGGCTTCTAGTTATTACTGTTTTGTTTTCTAGGTGCTTGCATAGTGACTGCTTTATAATTTATTCCAGAATTTTCCCTGGGATTGATGTCAGGCTGACTGGTCTGTAATTTCCAGGTTCTTCCTTTTTGCCCTTTTTGTAGGTAGGAACAACAAAAACATCATGCAATCATCTAGTATCTCATCCATTTCGCATGATTTCAAGAAAATAATAGGCAGTGGTTCTTAAAGAGTTCTTCAGCCAGTTTCTTCAATACTCTTGGCTGTAATTCATCCAGCTCTGGAGATCTGAACTCATTCAAGGTACTGTAGTCCAGGTTCTTCCTTTTTGCCCTTTTTGTAGGTAGGAACAACAAAAACATCATGCAATCATCTAGTATCTCATCCATTTCGCATGATTTCAAGAAAATAATAGGCAGTGGTTCTTAAAGAGTTCTTCAGCCAGTTTCTTCAATACTCTTGGCTGTAATTCATCCAGCTCTGGAGATCTGAACTCATTCAAGGTACTGTAGTAAGTTGACTATTTGTTTATCGATCTATGATCATGATCTTGTCCTTTCCATTTGTCTGCCTCAGTTCAGGAAAGTGAAATGCGTAACACCTGAGATTTACTAGGGTCTGAAGGCTCACAGTTTTTTTTTTCTTTTAAAAATATACTAACTACCTGGAGCATCTAGAAGATAAAGCTCTTGGTGCAGATTAGAATGGAGATTGCAAATGCCTCTAGGAATGAAGGTATATGATGAGGTGTCATTCCTTCTGAAGATATTGTTGTGAACTTCCCCAAAGACCTAGGAACCATCAGTCAAAGGAAAGGTTGTCCCCCCCCAAAACAAGACAATTCAAAACCCACCACAGTGGGATTTGTTTTTTGAAAAATTTAATGGGAAGGAAGAAAAGTAACTTCTTCTCTCATCAGCTCTCTGTAGAAGATTAGGTAAAATTTATTTTTCTGTTCCACTTTGGGAGAGAAAAAGTGAAAATAAGAGAGTTTTTTCCCTGTGAAATGGCTTTGTTCAAAGAGAGGAGTGATTCATATGGAATCCCACAGGTGAGGTAGTGAGTGAAATTGTAGAACCTTATTTTTTTAAAGCTAGCACTGCTGTGCATGTGTGCCGGAGTAGAAAGTATGGTTTGTTTGGGTCTGTTGCCTTTGCACAGAGCTTAGAAGGGCTACTTTTTTGACCACTGCTTCAAGAACCTGCAGGCAGTTTGGCCTCTAAGGAATTCTGTGAACTGTCATCCAAGGCTACAACTTTATCCAGCTCTGCTTTTGCAAGCCTACTTATAGTACTTTGACACCTTGCACCATCTGACATAGATTTTAAGGTCTATAAATTGTACATAGAGAAAAGTAATAGTGAACTCTGGAATTGGCTAGTTGGATTCTAAGTGCATTTCTATGATGATGACAAGGGAAAACTGAAAGCACACTCATGCTTATGCTGGGCAAGAGATAGTAGTCTTCTGCAAAAGCAATAACACACTTATTTTTTAAAACACTGAGGTCATTTCTTTAAACTTACAAGAATGTTTATCCATAATACAACAAATCTTTAAAACTGAGTCAATTAGTTATCCAAACCTCAGTTTGTTTTCCTGGGTTTAATATTTCATGGCTTGAACCCAGTTGGCAGCCCGAACTAGAGTACACCGGCTGAATCAATGAGATTTATGTAAATGTTGACTTTCAGCAATGGATTCAGCAAACCATAACAAGAGAATTTAGGGCAGTGATTCCCAGCCTTGGTTCCCCAGATGCACTTGAACTAAAACTCCCAGTGGTCTTCACCACAAGCTGTGCTGGCCAGGATTTCTGAGAGTTTCCAGTCCATCTGCACACCCAAGGTTGGGAAACACTGATTTAGGCCTATGGCTTCAGTTTGATATGAGTTGACCATTCTCAAAAATTCATGGAGGCAAGGAAAGCCACCAAAGGCCAGGTCCGCAATTGTTAGAGATTTGTCTTTGACATCCAGATTAGATCAAGAGTCTGTCCAATCCAGCATCATCTGTCAGATGGTAACCCAAATAATATTTGTAAGTGCATAAGAAGAGCAACAATGCAGCAGCAAGCTGACTTTATCAGCAACATACCAAAAGGCAGTGTGGTTTATGGTTCAGCTGGGAAGACCCAGCTTTTGTTTCCGCTCAGCCATAAACCTCATTGGGTGACCTTGGGCTGGTTATTCTCTTCTATCCTGATCTAACCCACGGGGTTGTTGTGATAATGTGGTGAGGAGGAGATACATGTGTACCATCTTCAATTCAGTGGAGGAAAAGCAGGAAAAGTAATTCCTCCCCCCACCCCACTATTTTGGTGACATTTTAAAAATGTTTTTTATTTTGTATTGATAATAACTTTTCTGCCACTGCAAAAGGGAGCTGTGTGTTTAAGTGAGAAAAAAAAGTTGTTGGCAAATTTTAGCCTTTCAAAGAATCATGGAGAATTGGGAGAGAGGTTGTGCTTGCTAGTTTTCGAATACAAATATTTTTCAATGCAAATAAACTTATTTGTCTGCAAGCAGGGCATGTTTAAAGAAAAGATGAAAGCTAACACAAGCCTATATTTGCAGGGGAAAGTAAAGAGGAGGTAATATCGAAGAGCATATTCTTATTCTGCAAAATGCTCTTAACAGAACAGCATAACATTTCTGCCTTTTAAGGCAGACATAACTTCAGCTATGGTGAGAGATTTCGTTGTCTAACTTTGAAAAGGGTTTCACAAATGGCTGTTCTCAGGAGAATCCCACCATGCTTACGTTTAATTTACACTTTGAACGGAAAATGCTGTCCCCTTCATAATTCCATTTGCAATGAGCAACAAACCCACCTGAGCCAATTCAGAACTGCTGAGGTGCCCATCACCATTTATATCCAAGTGATTAAACATATCTTCCACTAAGAAGCGCTTCTGGGCTCTGTCCTCTCCTGGGTGATTCTTCTGCTTCTGCCCGTGAGCCTGAAGGTCTAGGAGAATACCTTTTAGTTGGCTGTAATCTGCCATAGTGCATGTGTCACCTAAAAGATAAGACACCATTAACTAGGTACATCTGTTTGGCTGTGTTTTTGACTAGCAAGACAAATTGCTGCCAGAGGCAGATGACCTACATCTCAAAAGTAATGCTTTAGGACAAACCTTGGTAGATCTCCTTTAGTAAATTACAGGATTTTCCCCTCTCTAAATCCAGCCTCCAAGGAAATTCAACCACATTTAACTTTACAGATTATATAGTCTCACTCAGCAGACAACAGTGTAAAATGTAATAATCCACTGGCAGGGTTACATTTCCTCTAGATACTTCTTAAAAGTAAATGCATATGTTGAGTAAATGTGAAGAAGAAGGCATACATACATGCACAAACGCTAAATCAATCGGTCCGGAATCTGTATTGTTTTTTCCCCGTACATAATCCCAGTTTGTATGTCCCTCTGCATTTCCAAATGGTGCAGGGCAGTTTTTCTGACAAACCTTGGAGATTAGGCTGTCTTTAAAGTGTGGTTCAAAGAAATCTTCCACAACAGATTTGCACATCAGCCAAAAAAAAAAAAAAAAAAAAAAAAAAGGTTGAGGAGTAAAAACAGCCCAAAACNNNNGAGGCTCAAACTAGCTCATACCATCTTTTCAGTCATCATCCATGAAACTATAGAGAGGGCTAAATGGTGGGTTAGATGTGGGGATGACTGGATTCGGTATGTTGTGAAATTTTAAAGGCAATGGGTTGGTACACACTGCAGACAGGAACATCACACAATTTTGTTTTTGCCTGCATGGGCATGTTTAAAATCTGGCATTTGTTCCTTCCCAGAAATCTATACATCCAGGTAAATTTCACTAGTATAGCTATTTCTAATACAGACTTTTTGCATCTGCCTGTCATATAGCTGATAAAAATTCAGGACTAATGTGATTCAATGCTCAAGGATTCAGACATATACTTTAAAAGTTAATAAGCCTGAGATTGGATGGATGAATCTGTCTGTAATTATTTCATCTACTTTTTAATTGTATTAGTTTCCAGTTCTTTCTGTCTTGAATATGACAAAATCTGCAGTGTTTTGTAAATTCCCACTAAAATCTGATAGGAAATTCTTATTCATCATTAGCCTACATGCACAGATATCCACCTAGGCATTCAGCTTGGTTTCAAGTCCTCACATGCTTGTCACCCAGGCCTGTAGGCAGAGGTTTTGTATTGAGCTGGTGGCCTGAAAGTGTTGAGAGTGGTCAGCACAGTTAAAGGAGGAGGCACTGAAATGCAATACTTATAAATGTACTATGCCCCATCCAGATAACTGGTCCCACATTTTTTACCAGGAAGTAAATATGAAGATATGAAATGCAAGTACAGCCCAACGAGATCAAGAACCATTCCATTCCAATTGTGGGAGCAGGGGTCAAATGGCTGTTTGTTGTATCTTGGACACTCCCCCCCCCCACAGCTACAAATCTTGCCATGTTGTATCAGATCCAGATGAAAAGATGCCACCAACCTCTGCTCTACTCAACAGCTTCCTCTGAGGGTCTATAAACTAAAAAACAACCTCCTCTTACATAACAAATAGCACAGACAGTTAAACAGCACTTCTAGTTTTTTTAAAAAAGGGACAGATTGTCTCAGTCCAAATCCTCAAAACACTTGACTTTGATGTCTTCCACGTTCTCAATGGAGGAAAATCCCATTAAGTACAATATTAATATATAAAAATGTCTAACCAGAATAGAATATTGGACTGGGCCAGAGGCTGGAATCGCTAGTTACAAGTGACTGCTGTCGGAGCTTGTTCCCCCATGCCTCTTTGTGAATGGCAGGGAATTCTTGTGACCTGCCACAATGCAATAGGGCACTTTTCCAACGGTTCAAAGAAGCAGTGTGGGAATGGCATGGAGGTGAGGGGGCTGCTCTACCTCTTGCCAGTTTGAGGGGCCACGGTCTCATAATTTGGCATGGAAACTTCCTGCTGAATTACAGGACTGGCAATTCTTTGATACTGAAAATCCAACCCTGTTAATTATTAATTAGACACAACACACACAAAATGTCTGAAATCCTGTTTATTTTTTTTTTTTAGGCAAGGGGAAGGCAATTGGTGTAATATCCCCTTGCTTCTAGCCAGCAACTGTGTAACGTTTGGAATGGGGAAAAAATAACAGCCTCATACTTTAGAAGCAAGTCTGTCAGATGGGAAAAGCAGACAGACAAGAGTAGCCTTGAAATATAGCAAGTGTGAGGGAGGAACCCAGTCCAGTTGCAATTATGTCTCCTATAGAATTTTCCTAAAGGAGCATTTTACACAAATAGAAGGATAAAAATAGTTTTTATGTTTTCAAGCTAGAAATATGCAATTACACCATAACATTGAAAACATTCCCCAGTGAATACCCTTTATATGGGCCTGGAGAGCAACTTATTCTGATTTAAGAGACTTGTACTTGAGCCTCTAATTCTATTTAATTCTAAGTAATAATAGGTTGAAAACTGCATATAAATTTAAGGGCTGTTACTACTCCTGGTATTAAATACAACAGACATGACCTCTATTTCCATATATGAAAAAATTTAATACAGAGATTTGAGAGGGGGAGTTGTGGGAAAAGATGCAGAAATGTTATATTTTTATATTTTACACACATTGTATGGAGGAGAAGAGATGGCTCCAGTGGTGGACAGAAACATGCTTAAGGCATGGGTAAAATTACCGTATTTTTCGCTCCATAAGACGCACCTTTCCATAAGACGCACCAAATTTTTTAGGAGAAGAAAACAGGAAAAAATTATCTGCTTTCTTCTCCTAAAATCTGGTGAGCCTTATGGAGAGGTCCATCTTATGGAACACACCCTAGGGTCCTAGGGTGTGTTCCAGGACCCTTTGGAGCCTCCCCCTGCCTCCCTCGGGGGCGAGAGGGGGTGAAATCGCCACCTTCTGGGGCTCTTCTGAAGTTTCCCAAGCCTCAGAAGAGCCCCCAAAGGTGGTGATTTCATCCCCTCTGGCCCCCAGGGGAGGCAGGGTCAGTCTCCAAAGAGTCCTAGAACACACCCTAGGACCCTTTGGAGACTCACCCTGCCTCCCCCGGGCGACAGAGGGGGCAAAATAGGCAGCTTCCAGGATCTTTTCTGAGCCTTTCCAGGCTCAGAAAAGGTCCTGGAAGCTCCCGATTTTGCCCCCGCTGTCCCCGTGGGGGTGGGTGGGTGGGAGCCTGGCAAGGGTCCAAGGGAGCCTCCCACCCCCCCATGGGACCAGGGGGGGTAAAATCGCCAGCTCCCGATTTTACCCCCCCTGGCCACGTGGGGGTGGGTGGGGGGAGGGTGGCATGGGTCCAAGGGAGGGTCCCTTGGACCCTTGCCACCGTCCACCCACCCCCCACGGAGCGGGGTGTGTGTTTAAAATCGCCAGCTTCTGAGTGTGTTTGGAGGCTTATCAAGCTTCCAAACACTCCCAGAACCTGGCGATTTCGCCAGGGCTGGCCCCGTGGGGGGTGGGGGGAGGGTGGCAAGGATCTGAGTGAGCTCCCAGGACCCTTGCGACGTTCCCCCCACCTGGAAGCTGGCGATTTCGCCGGTGCTGGCCCCGTGGGGGCGTGGGGGAGCCTCGCAAGGGTCCTAGAAGGCTCACCCGGACCCTTGCGACGCTACCCCCCACGGGGCCAGCAGCGACGAAATTGCTGCATTCACACCATTAGACGCACTGACTTCCCCACCCACATTTTGGAGGGGGGAAAGTGCGTCTTATGGTGCAAAAAATACGGTAAGTAATGGAGGGACAGTTATTCAGAATGAGGACATTTTGCCATGTATGTCCAGGGAATTAGCATACAATTTTGTAAAGCATATTCAAAGTACTTCTGCATTGCAAAAACACAGAGTAGTTGTACTTGTCACAGCCCTGAATACTTTTGGTAAAATTCTCCCAGAGTTTCTGAGACAAGACTCCTGACACAAGTCTACAAAGGGAAAATCGGCTCCTGGTCTTGAGCAATCTAAATTTTTGACTCTGTCAGTCAGGACCCAATTAACTGACTCTCAGGAAGAGAACTTTTAAACTCCTTCCTAGCAAAACAGGCATTTGTGCTGGCAAAGGAATTCTGGGTCTGCCTGTAAAAATATTTTAGAAGATAGCCACTTCAGCAAGTGAGCGTCTAAATATTTGTTCTCTGTTCTTTTAAAAATACCTTTAAAAATGTTTTTAGAACCAAATCACAACATGACCTTCACGGACTAGTCAACTTTTTGTTCAAAATTGTGATACAGTGGTGCCTCGCTTTACGATTGCCTCGTTTAACGATGAAATTGCATTACGACGAAGTTTTTGCAATCGCCTTTGCGATTGCAAAATGATGCTTCCTATGGGGGAATTTCGCTTTGCGATGATCGGTTCCCTGCTTTGGGAACCGATTCTTCGCAAAATGATGATTTTCCAACAGCTGATCGGCAGTTTCAAAATGGCCGCCGGGTAAACAAAATGGGCCCCCGCTGTTTTCTGGGATGGATTCCTCGCATTACAGGCACCGAAAATGGCTGGAAGAAGAGGAGATGGCTCCAGTGGTGGACAGAAACACAGTTTATTCAGCTGATACCTTTTTGCTTAAGGCATGGGTAAAATTAAGCAATATTTTTTTCTCTATGTGTCCCATTACAAATGACAAAGATTAAAAGAGCAACTTACAGAAAGGCTGAGCAACCTGTAGTACTCTGGCCCTTGTTAGGGCTGCTTGTTTTTAATGGCCACTGTGGTAGCTCTGTGGTTGGGGAAGGCGCCAGAGCGTTCTCCTGCACTATAGAGACCTGTAAGAGTTTGGAGCAGCCTGCTTTTTAGGAGATGTGTCAAGCAAGGGAATGAACAGGTAGAGACTGAAAGAGATTAGCTATATCATTTGGCAGCTGCAATTTTGCCGCCACCAGTTTTGCCAATGGCATTTCACCATTGTGATTTGAGTAACAGCAGAGACAGTGAGGACGGTAAAAATTATGTAGTGGTGCATGCCGTACGATCAGAGTCCTAAGCAGCCAGTTTGCCCACT